TGGGCTGAATTGCACAAAACGCATGATCGCACCGGCTAGTCTGGTGCGCGTTGCCATTTATTCCTTCTAATCATTCGTTTGACTTACGTTACCCATTGATCACTAGTTGCCTCATTAATCCTGCTAAACCCATAAGTGAGTGCATTTTGTAAAAAACGAGCAGGTGTTAGGACCCGAGTCCCAGTTGTTGGCTGTTTCAACTCCTCGTCTGCCACGAGCCTCTCTGGCCCAAACTAATATTACGCAATTCCGCTTCCCCACCATTACCCTCTAAACTACGTTATTCGATGCCAGAGAAAATTCTACTTAACGTTTGAGGAATGTTAAGCGCCGGAGAAATTATACCATGACGGCCGTGGTGTCTCATTAACGCAAAAACCGTGCGTTTTGCACCAGAATCCGATAGTTTATCCGGGCTGAGCCGATTTCAGTTATAGCGGTGCATCTCCGGCTCTATGATACGCTGGATGTGTCGCACTGCTATGTTACTAATAGTTTACAGAGAGTAAATGAGTGCCATTCAAGTTTCACAGGTTTGGCCTGACCCAATTTGTAGCAGTGTCCGAAAATCTCATGAGAGACATGCTCGTTTCGGCTTAAAAAGGGAAGGCAAACGACAGTAGAGGATCGGAGGCGCAGTAGATACAAATACTTCAGTTTCGCACTTCTTAGATTGTTTATCGAAACAAGTGGTCCTGAAGGCCAGGCAGGTCGATTTCGTTTCTGGCGTCGTCCTAGTGGGAATATTGCCGATTTTGCACGCACACAGCGAAAGTAGCGAAGCTTGCATTGAAACAAGCGAAGAACGAGTGAAGCCACAACGTAATAAACTCGTGTAACGATCGGGGACTTTCGTAAAATGTGCACTTTGCTTGGCACGGCTAGCGACCTCGTTCTTATGGGCGTCAGGATTTTACTGTTTCGACAACACATGACTTTCTTGGCCCATTGTATACTGTTAGAAATTCCCCGCTCAAAACACGCCAGGAAGCCCAGAATTTCGCGTGTGGAAGTCTTCCCGCCTTACTTACAGCGTCAAGAGTAGCAGCAAATAATTTTTTTTGTACTTTACGAAGTATGAAATGAAACTTCAACAGAAGGAATGTGAGCGAAAAAATGTAAAATAATTTAAAAATAAAAATGAGATATGAAAGAAAGATGAAACACATGATTTGTAAATAGGTTCACTGAGCTGGAGACCTAACCCAATTTGGTGTAGGGAGAAGACGACGGGGTCTGGGCAAGTTATAAGAGGAGAACCGAATAGAAAAAGCTTTTTGGCACCCCTCACTGAAATTAAGCTGTAAATGATGGCAGTGAAGCACTGTTCGACCACAGCGACAACGAGGTAGGCGAAAAACATAGGGGAAAGCACAATGTTCAAGTTGGATATTTGTGAGAAAATACTTTGGAGAACAGTATGTTGCTCTACAGCGAACATATTTCATGCCTTCATCTTATGCTTTGTCATCACCGCTAAGCATCGCATCTGTTTTTGTCGATGCTTCCACACGAGCCTCATTTTCGATTTTGATCTGGAAATGCGGATTAAATGAGTGAAATCGAAAGAAACCAAAGAGAGTAGCATAAATAAAAGAAATTACCCCGCTTTTCTCAGACGGCTCAATCCCCAGTATCCGGCAAAAGAAGCAGTAGATGCCGTTGATTGTCTCTTTGTTCGCGTGTGACCCTCTAAAACCATGTCCCTCCCCTGAAATCACGGGATGTTTAAAAATTTTGCGAACACACAAATATGTTCTCGGAAGCAATATCGAAGTCAACACAAACTGTTCTGATTACCAATGGGCCAAGGCACTTTGGATAGTCAGTTCACTAAGATCACCCTTAACTAAGAGATAATAAAACTGCGCGGATAAAAATAATTTCTGCAGCTACAGCCCAGTACACTTGTTATCAGAGCTGCCCAAGATTCGTATGCGCATAATTTATGCTCAGACCCGAGTGGTTTTCAGTGAAAACAGATCATGCAGTCGATCAGATGAATATTTGAAGACCCTCTCTGTGGACCAAAAGCACAAACTACCTTCTCAATGAGATCACAAAAAGACACAGGCATGGATTAGGGTCAAAAACATTACCCGAAAGCCTTTATCAAGCACTTGAAAATTATGAAAAACCGTTATAACAGAGGAATTTTGCATCGACGGTGGGATATTTCAAATGCTCTGTTCATCACACATAACTCTGTTAAATGAGTTTGTGACCAATGCAAGTAAAAATGGATTGCAAAATCATATGGATGAAAAACAAGTACTGCCTATATTTCAATATGGATTCTAAGAACTAATCCTCTAAGTTTGTGGACAGTTGTACCTACTTGCCACAAATAATGCGGACAAATAACAAGCACGGAACTACAGCGAGGGGAAAAAGCAGAATCGATAGCTTCCAACAAGTTACAAGAAATCTTTTTCAACAGCAACACAACTCCGACCGTGAATGCAAAATTGTCAAATTTTCCTGTTCACAGTTTAACTGTATCGATATGAAATTTTTACTGTATGCCGATGTGAAATTACTGTTTTTACTGATATCTGTATATCGACGTATATCCGTACATTTACTGTATATCGATGTAAAGTTTTTACTGTATTACTGTATTTTACTGTATCGACGTGAAAAAAATTTAATGGTGACCCAATGTGCCATGCAAAGGGACACGATAAATTTTTCAGCCTACTTTATTCTGTGCAAAAATAGTTAGAAAGTTGAAAAATAGTTAAAATTTCACAAACCGGCATGTAAAAGCTGAATTTGAAACCTTGAAGGGTGAATATCCTTCCAAAACTTCAATTTCCTAATTTTCTGGCTTTCGAATGGCCTTTGAAACAAAACTTTCACGTGGTCGCACGCGAAACCTCGGTATATTTAAGAACTGGATTAGAGTTTGTGAAAGGTAGGAAAGATTCGCCTGAAATTTTCAGTGTCCTAGCATTCCTGGCTCCCGAGATAATGATTTTTCTCGCCAAAACTTCCACGAAGACATTGAAAATTTCCGAAGTTGCACGTGGGTTCCTTGGATTCCGTGGTTCCCGGGACAATAATTTGCCGCAAAAATTTTCACGGATTCGCAGGTGATACTCGAGAACGCGGAAGCGCTGAATTTGTAAGGTCATGCGGAAGCAGTGGGTCATTACCCTAAAATTTCAGCTTCGTAGATTCCGTTGTTTCCGGAGATAATAATTTACTCACTAAAACTTTCACGTGGCTGTTCGTGTTACCCGCGGACAGGAGAAGGCCGAATTTAAATTTTCTGGGTCGCATGTGGGCAGGGGACATGCTCACAAAATTTCAGTCTTCCATCTTCCGTGATCCCCGTGATAATAATTTTACCCGCTCAAACTTTTGCGGAGCCGTAGGTGTTACCCACGGGTACGGGGAGGCTGAATTCAAATCTGCATAATCACGCGTGGATGGGGAACCTCCTCCTAAATTTTCAGCTTTCCGGCTTTTGTGGTTCCCGAGTTGGAAGTTGTGGACAACTTGCTGCGGACACACACATACACAAACACATATACAGACAACTCCGTGAAAATAAGCGTTTTCTACTGCTTTTACACAGCACAAAATGCATAAAAAGTGGGGTTGATTATAGTCAAGAATGGGGAACAGCAGGCAGGCAAAGCCTAAGCAAGGAAAGCAGTGCGATAGAAATATACACTTAAAGGCCTATACTGAATCATGCAGATAAGAGAAGCTCAAAACAGTAAACAGAGAGGCTGCCAAGTGCCTTACACAGTATGCTGCATTTGGCTCTTACAAAGCCAGTCCACTGGCGCCATATTAGAAAGCAAACAAATCTGTAAACAAGTTCATAAATACAAACCTCCAAATACTATCAGCGATGTGGGGACCCCTTTTTTCTTTAAAGCTTCATGCAGTTCTTCGCTTTGTGAAACTGGCACTACTGTATCAATTTCGCCGTGGAAAAACGCCACTGGTGTGTATAATTTGTAGCATTGATTCAGTGGTGATCGCTCTTCGTAGACAGCTTTTTCTTCCGGAAACTTGCCAATAAGTTGCTCGTTGTATCCAAATTCAAATTTATGTGTGTCCTGAAATCAAAATTTGTGTCTGTCCTACTACTTAATACTTTTGACACTTCCAGACGACTTTGTTTGAAGTGATGTTCTCAACTTACTTGGGCCAAACCCACTAAGTCGCTCACGCCATATACTGAGGCCGCAGCGGCAAACATATCCGTTTTCAGGAGAGTAGCCAGAAGGAGGTAGCCACCTGCCGAACAACCCATGATACACAGACGTTTCGGGTCTACTCGTTTTTCGCACAGTAAGTGTTTGGCAGCATTGATCATGTCATCCCTGTCCACTATGCCCCAGTTACGCCTTATCATATTTCTGTAAACTGTGCCAAAGCCTGCAAAAGTATAGTTTTATGTAACTGACATTTCCCCCTTGCGCAGCGCCTATGAAAGGTGAAAAAATAGCAATAACAGCCACAAATCGCCTGCATATTTCCTAAGTAAATCAAAAATTGCTGATAGTGTCATGCGATAAAAACTAATGTAAACTGAGGAACTACCTGAGGAACCGCGGTAATTTACATCACAAACAGCAAAGCCTCTTGTTGTAAAATACTGAATCCTCATATCAAGCGTCCCTGGAGAATATGCTGTCGGTCCGCCGTGCGCGAGCAATACCACTGGTGGCAAAGTGCCTTCCGGAGCTTTGTATTTTGTGGACTGAAATGATTAGATGACAACACATGGCATTCTGACTTATTACACAGCAATTGAGCTCGCGCAGCAAGGACTGTGGCACGAATATGAAATGTCAGCCTCGTTCAGTATCTTACTGCTCAGCTACGATTTACAAAGTCATCGTGGATTGAATACAAAGTCACAGAATATGACACGAGCCAGATGAGAAACAGTGAAAAGAAATGTATACTTGTCAAAGTAGACAGATCTGAATTTAGCACAAGAACAATTCTGGTTCGGATAATGCGATTAAATTAACTCTTATTCTTAACCATAATCGCTTTTCCATTTTGGCAAGTGCACATAAAAACTTACAAATGGAGGATAGAACCAGGCCTGAACATCCGTGCCATCTGACTGAAAATGCAAAGATTCAGGAATCGATATATCACATCTTTCAAGTTCAGATGATCGCCATGATTCACGTAGAACATCGACCTGAAACTTCACTATTAAAAATTTAAAAAAAAAAAAAAACCAGGCAAGTTATTTCAGAATATCCCAGAAAATGCAACATTCTTGGGAGACCAGACAAAAAAAAACATACTTTTTTGGTTTCCAGATTGATTCTGATCACCGATGATGAACTGCTCGGTCCAGCGGCAATTGCAAATGCGCAGTCGTTGTCATGCAGCGCAAGACATTTGAATGATGTAAAGGATGGAGTGTGTATCTTTTCCACCGCTCCATCCCACTTTTTGTAAACCAACTTCCCAGCAACATTCATTATTATACCTAGAAACCTTCAGAAACATCATAAAAAAACATCAGAATCCTGGAAAAAAATTATATGTTCGTGAATGCAGAACATGAAAAGCAACAGGTGCTGATAATTGGTGATATTAAAGGTTAAAAAGAAAATATCAGGAGAAGAAGGAAACAATGAAAAAGAGGAAAAGGATATTAAAATAGATAAGGAATAAAAAGAGATATTTGTTGTAGGCAAGAGATGTCTCGGTCCATTAAGTCGTATACATTTCTTACCGTTACCATAATTGGACCTCGTCAGAGGATATGTTCGACGGTAATAACGAACAACAGTTACGCTAGAGAGAAAGTGAAAGTTGTTCAACGATAATTACTAGTCATGCTTTGGGTAAATAAGCATAATTGTGGTAATTATAGACAGGGTTCATGGCAGCCGTATAGCGTGCTTATGATAACTACTCGATTATAATAAAAAAAAGCACCTTTTTTATTTGTGGCAAAATGTCGATCTGCCAATTGCCACAATGGTGCACCAATTTCAGCATCAACAGGATAAATATTTTCTCCCAACTTCTTCGCTGTCAAATCAACCTGCAAACTGCTGCTTCCTCTCCTGGTGACTGAAAAATACACCCACGCATACACACGCCCACACACAAAAATAAACACACCGCATACACACACCCCACACACATACATAAAAAGGTTTTCGATTAGATTCAAAAAACGACAGGGACGATAAAGTGGTTTTTAAAATAATTTCGATTGAACAAATCGGTCTAAACTACAAAAAAA